CGTGGCTGCGTACTTTACTTGAAAATGGTGTTAGTTGCATTAATTGTGGGACATTTCCATTTGATACAATTGTTGCCGTATACTATGCTGGAAAAAGTCATGGTTGCAACTATTTTGAGACCGCAATACCCCCTTCAAAAACGCAGCTGCCACCACTTCAAAATAAAGTACGCAGCCACGGACTCCCCATTTTCGGGACATTGGTAGGAAATTGTGGTCGGTAGTGCACGTCTCTCCTAAATGTCAATTCTAGGCGACCATACCCACTCGAATATAGTTTTTAAAATGACAACTACAGTTGCAGGTACAGGAGATGCGGTATGAGACACCATCCGGATGCCTTTCTTTATCAACGGTGACTGGTTAGGGATCGAATCGCTAAGAAAACAACCAGCGGTGGGAACGCTGCGGCTTGTCCCATTCATTCGCTCTTGAAACCGCCTCGCCTGATTGCAATGTTTTAATCTGTAGCCAACGCTTCGTAGCAGAAGCCAGTAACTTCAATCGAAGGTTGGTGTGACGCTCTATAAATCTTGCCGGAGTCGTGACACGTTTGTTTATTTGTTCTCCATCCGATGAACTTCTATTTAGCTTTAGTCACCAAAGAGCATCGCTAATGTTACGAGAAGCAACTGAGAGTTCTGCTGCAGAATGACTGAAAGTAACGGTCGAAAATTCAAAATGGTTGAGGTTGCCAGGGTAGTTAATTCTCTCTAGTCAGAACTGGTGCTGGTGAGAGCAGTGTGCAGAAGTCAGAAGAGTCGGCGAAACTATCAAGGCTATACGGCGAGGCTGCTGCTCCATCTGGCATTTTCTAAAGTGTGCGAGACGAGCGTGAGGACGAGAAGAATCCGCAAAAGTGGCGATGGTGACTCGTTCTGACGCTTATTCCGCAGTGCAGCCACCAGTCTCTGGACGTGCCCCACGTAGATATCAGCATTAAGTGCCCGCTTGTATTGACGCTATTCCGGAAACTTCCAATTCCAGAAACCCCAGGCGTACTAGTCGGGGCAGCGATATTGGTTTGACTCAGGCTAGTGAAGTTTGATCCTGTGGCAGCCTCTAGATGTGTCACTTATTGTTCTCAAAAGGGGCTCAACATTCATTTTCAGTGATTGTCAACTTGATAATAGCCTATCCCTAAGTTAGGAGAAGAAGTCCCACGCAGGTAGAAGGTAGCCCCTATAAGATCACACGCGCTCGGCAACAACTCGAGTTGGAATTAAAAAATTTGATTTAAATAAAAATCGAAGAGGGGCAACCTAATAGTAACAAATGGCACCGTTCACCACGTCTATGGTACACGAACCATATCTCGACTTGGCTCTTGTACCAGTCTTGTCCGAGGGATGAAACCACTGAACTGTAGCCTATACTCCCAGTGTCGTTCGAAATGCCTTTGCAAATACGGGTGGAAGTAGGGTGCATCGCGCATTCCAAAAAAAATCGCGCATTCCGCAAGAAAAGAAAAACTTGATAGCCCTGAGCTTTTTCATTGGTAGAAGTTTGATCCCATCAACTTCCGATTAATTCCGAGACCAAGGGTAACGCTCACTGCTCTCCTCAATCTAATAAATTGAAGGGTACTCATCGGTCGATGGGAACTATACTCATCAAATTGAGGCACGTTGCCAATCATCCCCATCCCTTACCATCATTAGATTCAGAAGCGGTGGAAGTTGTAAGTGTCGGGTATTGGGCTCCGCCCACACTCTTTACGGTCACAGTAAGAGGGGTCTTTTTCAGCTAATTCCGAGTGGCCGATCTCGTACTGTTCTTAAAGCCACGAATGGAAGTTTCGATTTCTGTCCTCCCTTTCCCACCCACAGTTGCAGTCTCTGCCCCTAGCTGGCGGAGCTCCTTCATCTCTACCGCGGAATACCAAACTTCTCTTATTACAGTCTCTACACTGCAAACGAACCTTCTTTCAAGCTTTATTTCTAATTATTACTACCCTGACGCGCTACCCTACCTCGTTAAGTCACACATATACCTCATCAAAATTCGCTCGCCGCCACGTTGCCAATCATCCCCACCCCTGTGACCATCATTAGATATCAGAAGGCGTCTGGGAAGTTGGCTAGAGTGTCCCGCGCGGTATCTTGGGCTCCCGCCCACACTCTTTACGGTCACATAAGAGGGGTCTTTTTTAAGTAATTCCGAGTGGCCGATCTCGTACTGTTCTTAAGCCACGAATGGAAGTTTCGATTTCTGTCCTCCCTTTCCCACCCACAGTTGCAGTCTCTGCCCCTAGCTATCGGAGCTCCTTCATCTCTACCGCGGAATACCAAACTTCTCTTATTACAGTCTCACGAACCTTCCTGTTTTCGGAGCTATTACTTCCAAACTCGATCTACTACCCTGACGCGCTACCCTACCTCGTTAAGTCACGTTTCCTCTTCTCGTTGTCATTGTAGCTGGATATACTTCATTTTTCCCTGTATCGAAACATTCCCTAGACCGAGCTACGGAAAATCCTGGCGACTGTTGCCCTTTCAGAGCGCATTACTCCCTCTGTAGGTGTGCCTATCCCTTCTCGCTCGTCAACCTTGTAGTTTCTTACTTGCAGCTTCTTCTCTCTCACCCCCTATGACGTGATCTCCTGGTAACATTATATGGTTTGCTTGCTTCTGCCGAGACTATCGGTCCGTGCATTCCTGCAAATTCACTTGTGCACCTTTGGTAAACATTATCGGCCGGTTTCGCTTTACTAATTGTTTTATCCCCCTTCGCGCTCAACCAGCGAAACTGTCCGTGACACCTCTCTCTCTCTCGGTGTATTTCACTCGCTTTTGGGATGTCGCCATGAGGGTTTGCTTTTGTTTTCGTTCGCTGTCAAGTTAAGACGTCTAGATAGCGCAACAGGGATCCCCTAATGCTTACTGAGCCGGTCCTAGTACTTTTCTTGCACGGCGGCGGCGGGGGTGCACGAAATGCGCTAATCATAGCGGCCACTCTGTGCGTGACGAGGTCTTTTTTGAACATTTGTAGCCAGAATTATCGTCTCCAAACTTCAGAAGTTTCGTCGATTCGGGACTCTAATTAACCATCTGGGGGAGGGGGCGAAACGTACCAGGGTACAGGCAATCGAGCAAGCTGACGAACCCCACACTCTCCACTCCATCGGCACCATAATTTGGGTACTCGGACTACTAGAAGTGCTCAAGCAGGGGTATGTATTGTAAGTGGGAGAAGAGAAGTAGGGGAACAAAAAAAAACGAAGTGAACACGGTCCAAAACCTGCGAAGACCTCAAAGGTTGCTGTCGTCTCCATTTGTGCTGCATGTGATAGCAAGGCTCCTACACTCTCACCTAAAATTCCTACGCTCTGCCAAAATCTGATAATTTATTGATACTGGCAGTGCAATGAAGCTGGAAATGTGCCAATTTCCATTTGCTTTTCCGCATGCTAAACATGGTTTGGTGTAGAGTCGCAAAGAATGCAGACCTTGCTGACATCAGTCGTTTCAAGTATGACCTACCCGTGTGTCCTATGCTATATTTTTTAGTTGAAACTCATAAAATCTTCGAATCTGATCCGAAATCTAGTGCTCGACAATGTTCACGTTTAGACTCATAGTGAGCACTGGGGGACCACCGACAAGATAGCATGGCTTGTCACTTTGACCATACGACACATCCTTCATTACATTTGACAAATACGAATATATTACTTTATAAATTGTGAAATGCAGCAGGGCACGTCATTGTTGGGGAATCTCCAACAGGGGGGGGTCGCATTTGGGGGCCAGCAGAGGGGGGAGTCGCTAGCAGTAGGCTTTAGGTCGGAAGTTAAAAAACTAGTATTAGTCTGTGGACCAGTTCTTTATAGTGGCTACCTCTATTAACTGCCTTGTAATATGCTTAACCTAGAAGCGGCATGGATTACTGCTTTGATTTCCTGAGTGAACAGGCAGATAAGGAAAATTTCCTCCACAAGAACCTATGGAGAGCTGGCTACCACTTCTTGACGTTCAGGCGCAGCTTTCAAGAGGAACTGTGAGGACCAAACGGTATCAGGGGCCGAGAAATAAAAACAACATTTCACTGCGATTTGGCCCATCCGATCAGAACGAGGTATGCTGCTACTATGATGCAATATGGCTAGTGCTACTGACGCTTCTTTGCTATTGCTCTAAAAACCAGGTGCCTAACATGGGGCGAAACATTGCGCGGTCTGATGGGTATCCTTTCTTGGGATCGCAACCTAGGGGTGACTTACCACGTGGAGAAAATACGGTGGGAGTAAACATCAACAGAGTGTGATTTTGTCTACATTTTGTAGCCGATGAGCGGAGCGGCCGGAACGCTAGCTTCATAAAAGAGTGAATACCTCAGAAAGGCTTGAATACAACCACAGTGTTTCTTCCCACTCACAGTGACGATTCCGACAAACCATTTTACTTTTAAACCCTTCAGTTGTATGGATTTGGATAGTCGCGCTGTTTGAAACAACCGCGGTCCTATTATATGGAGAATATAGGTGTTGAATATCGAATATGTTGAAAAAAATCACCGTCTGGAGAGAAGCTACATAGTACAACTCACCCGCTCTACTATTATACTTCGCGCCAAGTTTAGCTTTGCCCACAGAACGTCAACGTTATTGGAAAATCCTCGAAGAGGTGGAAAAAGGGCCACATTTCGTTTTTTTCCCAGTGTTGTTTAGTCCAGTGAGAACCTGTTCGAAGCGCTGTCGCTCCCTCAGCCCAGATTAGGGCAAACTCTGTACTTTCATGTTGTTTGTCCTTGGCTTTACGCTGCTCGTACTGACTGTCATTCTTCTGACCGATTTTCATAGTCATCATTAGCACAATGGCTTTTTTCTGCCCCGAAACACATTCTAGAAGATCGTTCTATGCGACCCTTTTTTTCTAGAGAGGCGGCGACACAGCGGGGCTAAGCTATCGATATATAAGCAGCTCGACCGTGCGAGAACTGTACGGCTCCTCCCACTGCTATCTTCCAATCTGCGGCGCAGCCTACAAAGCTCAGGTTTGCTATTTCCAGCAGCCTTCACGGGAGTCTTTTGCATCAATTAGGTCTATATGGCTCTGTTCAGTAGCATACCTTTGATAGCTCCAAATGATAGAGCTTAATTGTTGCACAGCTTTCACGTAGTCATTGTTCCCACCAGTCTGGCTGTTGACTGAGGTGCCCATGGCAGTCTCTGAAAGCATTCAGATCTTCTCATATTCTCGGCTTCGAATTCAATAAAATCTGTGGATCAGAGGTTAGTCTCTTAACAGTGTGAATACTCTTGATGTCAATGTTGGAGCTTTTTCAACATCGTTACATTTACCACAAATATGAAAGGGGTACTTAATCACACCATCAACAAAGAGCACGAGTTGGGACGTTAATAATTCAAACCACCGTGGGAAAGGATGCTTGGCATAGTGTCAAAGAGGTTCACTGTTTCAGTTGGTCGCGGGCTGTGGGACACTTACTTCCCAAGTAGTGACGAAGTTATACTTGAAATCCATGAGATCGGTAGCGTGACTGTCGCGTACTCTGATTCTTAACAATGGCGGCCAATACCAGATTTCGCAACTACTTTTCATTTTTCGAACTGCCGTGATCATGTCTACATCTGACACAGAACAAGATGGCAGTTGTTTCAAATTGATATATCCCACGAGTAACCCGTCCTATGCCATGCTCAATAAGCCACGCCTATTCCGTCTCAGGGATAAGGAGTGTATGTTGCAGGAGGCGGGGTTGACATGCACAACATCCGCCCCCAGGACCACACACTCAAAATGGCAACAGCACTGAGCCTTTACTTTACTTCTCAAGGCATCAGCACCTACAGCGATGTCGCAACTGAAGTAACTCTTATTTAGCTCTAGAGGCGTACAGGCTCGCAAGCGATCCGCTTTCCAAACAGGAACTTGCTGGTAGAAATTCATCGCACGCGGAGGGTGAAAGGCTTGGTTGGGTTGGGTGAAAGCTGTGGTGATTGATTCCCGGACCGTGGGCCTGTGGTGAGCAGGGCTATCTTACCGCTACATCATCTCCTCCGCTCTTGAACATAGGTCCCAAAGGATAGAACGAAACGGTGCATGAGCATGAACCATGACCTCCTTTGTTTTAATCCGCTTACATTAGTCGAAAGCTGTAGCTGCTATGCTTCTTCAACTCATGACTCTTCAAGTGTCAGCACTGGTGGTCGATCGAGATCATGGCCCGGTGGAACCGCTTAGCACTCCTGTCATTGAACGAAAGAGAAAAAAGTTCACGAATCCAGCTGCAAGTCTCTTCCATCCGGTGGGTTATCGTGTCATGCCAGTATATGCGTCACACTGTGAAGCCGTTTCCTACAAACTTTTTTGTTTATGACGAGATATCGACCGACAAAAAGCTGATAAGAAAACGAGTGTCCGCAGGGATATAAATACAATAAATAGTCACTTGCCGCCGTATCAACAACTGGTGCAGAACGAACTTTGGCATACCGCGCCAAACGCCAGACCCACTCCCACCGAGGAACGACCACAGGCCCTCAAAGTGAATGAGAGACTAGTAACTTGCCCCACAGACCGCCCTTGTTTCTGAGCAGACCTCTTCCGATCCCGACTTCTCGGACCCAAAGGGCGGTGAGAAAGCCGAAATGAAGCCGAACAAAAGTGGAGTGGCTTCTGAAGGCTCTATCATTACTATTTATACAAATTTTTTACAAGGCGTACTTTCGCAGATCTCGCACGTCTCAGGCGCGGCATTGTGCGCAGATTGACGCTCTTTCCCAGCTTCTAGTCGGCTTGAGATGCTGCAGCTTGGCCGCGTTGGGTCACCCGGGTTATGGTGCGAATTCCGCGCACGCGACTCCCCTGCAATACCTCCATAGCCATAGTCGCTTTTGCAGCGTTCGGGAGTGCTAAACTACACCCTCCTTCTATGAGTGTTTATGCTTTTTTCTCGCTTACCACAGATTATATCCAGTGCACAGCGTTTTATGTACGGAAACATATCGAAAAATCCCTCTTCTTTAGCGAGTAGATCGACGAGGATCTGAAATCAGTCACATCAACACCAGCTCTTACGAGATTCAGTGCCCAATAAGACTCACCTCTCCCTGCTGTACGAACACGTTATAGTAACCTTGTAAAATACTGAAGTGGAACGTTGGTGTGAGCATTTTCCTTCGACGATGCCATTTTTCATTGGTGCTGAAAAGCGCTTATGATGTTAGTAGAACATAATGAACCCTGGTTTCTACTTCATTCATACAGTTTTTCATGGATGGTAGAGGATGCCAACGCAGTTCTGGATTCAGCGCCTCGAATGGACTAGTCAGCTCTCAGCGCGATCGGGCCCACAGGAGGGAGAGCGGTTGTGCTTCCCTTAATGCCGCTTTAAGTTTTTCAGCGTATTCGGAGGAAGGACACGTTGTTCGAAAGTGTCCAGACTGGATTTGACTCAGATCGCAGGACCAGCGTGTACCGCAAACGTACTTCCAAGGTCCATGTACACGAAACTATGAAAGATGAATTTCGGTTTCCATAAAGAGCATAAGATTTGCGTGAGGGATAAGAACAGGTGTAAGACAAGTCCTTCAGCGGTCAAGAGGTAAAGGGAGATGTTCCATTTAGCAGGTTAGTTAGATGGCGCATGAGCATGAGGCGAGAAAACCAGTACTGCTGGACCGTAAATGACGTCTAAAGACACGTCATAATCTGGTCATGTGCTGTTAATGTTACGCTACGCATCCCTTAACAGGACTGAACGGTGTGACTGTGCTACAGCTGATAACGCCGCAAGCATTCGGGGCGGTGCTAAAAATAGCGCAGTGAGCCCGACTACAGCTGACTTTCTCTACCAAGAATGATCGATTAGTGACCGACTTTGAAAGAAAACAACTAGTGACTAAGACGGAGAGGGGGCTTCCTCTCCTTTTGACAGCGTCCTGCGACGATACCAATGTACTTTAGCACCGGAAAGATATAACATGCCCACTTCGTAGCCTTTATGATACCCAGCAAAGTCGTACTGAATCCTTCGTGAGCGGCGGGTAACCTTTGAGGACGCAGCCACGCCCTCATCCTTGAGATGGGATAGACCAGCACGGTACTCATTTAAACAATATGTAGGGCGCTGCGACGGTTGACTGGCCATTTTTGGGATTTTTTCTGTTTGAGACAACAACTGTCATCCTGTCTCTTGAACAAAGTCATGACCACAGTTGTCCTAAAATGAAAATATCCCACCAAAGGGCAGCTGCCTGCATCTCGAATGAAGTACACGCTAAACGAATTTGGAGTGTAGCTTGGAGGGGTGGTTATGCGCAGGTAGGGAAACATTAACGGCGTTTTTATCAACAACCACTTATACTTCTGGCTCAGCACTCTCCTGTTTATGTGGCGAATAATATAGTAACGGCAGTTAATGAAAAAACAGACTTACCTCGTTAATAAACCAGTTCCTATCCATTCGGAAACTATGTCATACTGGTTCGGCTTTGAGACGTTCGTGGTACTTTCGAGTATTGGCTGTAATTATACTCTTGTTCAGATACTAGTTTCCGGTTAGCTATAGCTAATGTTTGATGGCGGAATTGTGAAAGTGACAAGTGGCGCGCTTACCACTCGCGCGGGGGCCGGGTTCGAATCCCGGGTCGACACCCACCCAGGCCAACCAAGCCTTCTATCCTCCGGGAACGGTAAAGATTGATACTAGAATTCGTCTTGGGAGGATTAAAACACTCGACTTTGTACGTTGGCTGCCACCCGCAAGTCATTGTATAGGCCACATCGCATTCAATAAGCCACTACGATTCTGAATGGAGTGGAATGCGTGCCGCATCCCACAAAGGGATTGATCAACGGCAAAACTTTTTCCATCGTCCCTCTATAGCTGATGTTTACATCGTTAGTAATACGTGTGATTTCATATTATGAAACTAGCGCTAATTTTGTACCTGGAAGGTTCACGAACCGTACTTCAAAGGAACTCCAAAGACCCGAAGCAAAGCCAGAAAGTTTCTGTAATTGCTCTTCCCCTTTGTCTAATATTTGGCTTTGCCTAGAGTCTGAAGTTGATTCGCAGTAGAATTTTGCTGTGTTTTCATGTCGTGCAATATTCAGGCAAAAAGCTCTCCACAACAGCTCGATATTGAAGACAATGGGCACGATGGCAGGAGGCGGGCGGTTGTTCCCAACGTCACTGGTGAAAGGCCTGTGTAGGAAGTGATGAAACGCCCTTTTGCAGCTCTTTCACCAATGACGCAGGCGCCATCCGTTCGCCTCTAGCAACCTATCATCAAGAGAAAGCTTGTGCTGACGCTGTTCTCTACCTGAAGGGAATGTGTCACCCCGTCGGAGCTCCTTGCCTCCTTGATTTTGGCAAAATTCCGAAAATCAAAAGAGCGGAAAATAGTGAATCGTTCCCTTTACACAGCACCAGTTATGCACGAGGTCCTCTCGCAGTCCTCCTCCCCATCCCAGTCGTTCAATGCAATCAGCGCCACAGTGCTATTTCGAGTGTCGCTCAGAGAAAATTTTTGATTTATCCGGTTGCCATTGCATTCGTACCAGGCGGAGTTCGTCATTGGATGAAATTCAGTTTTTCTAGAGAAAGCACCTTTTCGGGGTATTCCTTTCACTGGAGTTTCTAGGAAGGAGCATGGTCAAAACTAAGGATAACACCGAACGGTAAATATGGATCAATGGGGAATATTTTCGTCCATGGACTCGGCGTGGACTGCACTGTGTCCTGCCAGACTATGAGGGAACCCTTGCAAATCTTGAACCGAATTTCAGAATGGTTCTCCCTTCACTGAAGGAGACCTTCAGTCATCACTGAAACCCATGAAGGACATGCGGCTACCTACCGGGCACCTTCTCGACTCGAGACTTTCAGA